ACCAGTTCTAGCGAATTGGTACGAACTGGTAGACTCCCACCCCTGGTCATAGGTCAAAGATTCCCTGTATTTTAATATTCCTTTAAAAGGGTAGAACAGCTGCACAATGTAAAACTCAAAAATACCTTCAAACAGCAACACTGGGTTTTTTTTATAGAATAGAATAGAATTCTTTATTGGCCAAGTGTGATTGGACACACATGGAATTTGTCTTGGTGCAAATGCTCAATGTACATAAAAGAAAAGATACATTGTCAAGAGTCAATAATAATAAGGTACAACACTTAATAATAGTCATAGGGTACAATAAACAATCAAATCATACTAGGAAACAAGTCAATATAAATTGTAAGGATACAAGTGACAAAGTTACAGTCATATGGTCACAAGTGGGAGGGGATGGGCGATAAGGAGTGATGAGAAGATTAATAGTAATAGTAATGCAGACTTTGTAAATAGTTGAACCAATGTTGAGGGAATTATTTGTTTAGCTGAGTGATGGCTTCTGGGAAAAAAATCGATTCTTGTGTCTAGTTGTTCTGGTGTGCACTGCTCTATACCATCGTTTTGAGGGTAGGAGTTGACACAGTTTATGTCCGGGATGTGAGGAGTCTGTAAATATTTTTTATTTTATTTTTAGTTGAATTTGAGTCTCCCCCTTACCAAATGCTTCTCTTGCTATCTCTACAGATTATGAGAACATATTGAATCCTGCCAATGTCATCACTGCTAGCAATACAAACAACAGATTGCCTGTTAGGCTCACTTCTTACCTCCATAGTCTAATAGGACTTTTCTAAGTGCTCACATCAACTGAAGCAACTATGTGACCAACAAAGAAAATGGTACCCTGGTCATGAAATAGGATTCTAGAAGAAAATTATCTGGTATTGTATTTGTGTCTTTATGGAATCAGGTATTACCAGATCATTTTATCAATAAACTGTCTCAGCTTGTCAGACATGTATGTTTTAACTGAATTTTAATTTCTAATCATTTTGTCTTGAGTTTTGCTTTATTGACATGCCTAGTTTTGTTAGCCATCTGGAGAACTCATTTTTGTTTTTGTTATTTAGATATTTTAGTACTTTCTCATTCAGATTGGGCATTTTTAAAAGGAAAAGTAGAGCCATTTCAAATAATCACTCCAACCCTAGAGTAGCTCATAATATTTTACATACATTTGATGTTAACATTTGATATTTTCCAGTTTCTTCCCCAAAGATAAAATATATTCAATGGAAGAGAATTATAAGTAGCTCAGGATGGAACTGTGGAACCCTTGATGCTCTATGAGCTTGATTATTTGCTTGCAAACGTTTCATCATCTGACTAGGTAACAACAGACTAAGATTAACAAAATACAAACTAAACTATGAGTACCAGGCAATCAATCAGAAAACAGTAATTTAATTAAGGAACTATTAAAGAGAAAGCCACACTTCCACCAACACTGAGAGGGCAAAATACTATATATAAACTAGGACTTCATGCTCAGTTACACTGATATTACCTAGTTGGGTAATATCTTTAAGACACACAAGCTCAGAGAGCACCAAGGACTCCATAAAATATGTCTAATTTCATATCTGTTACTTTGAGCTTTATTACAGCACAAGATCTAAATTAGTGAAATTGTAATATAATATAAAATGTAACCTGTAAAAGGCATTCAATGCATTTTTGTTCACATGTGGAAATTCTATTTCTACACTATATACCAATTCTTCCTCCCCAAAAGTCCACAATTGCTATGTTTTCAATTTCTGGTGAAGTTTTAAAAAATCCAATTCAGAAACATGTAATAATATTCCAGTTTAATTTATTGTCTGTGTAATAATACAGCTAATGTTTGGCAATCTATGATAAGGACATTGTTTCTGCCTTGCCAATGATATAGAGAGATGATTCTGGAGATGGATGTTCCAAAATGCTTTTTCCAAAAGGCAACTGGACTTTTTGGATTTCCAAAAAAGACCAGTTGCCTTCAGGAAAAAGCACATTTGGGACAATCACAACCTGAATGATTGAGAATCTCCACTGACAACTAGAGATGAATACTAAAACCCACTTCTCAGTAGCAAAATGCTATCATGTATTCCTTCATGGTTCCTTGGAAACTAAGCATTAATAATACAACTTTGCATTATTTATCATTTTTCAAATTTCTTATCAAAGTTATCTTTCTTAGCCATTAGCCTTACCTACATATATATTGAAATGTGCTTCCACTCCACTACCAATAAGACTCAACCAGTGAGCATTTTTTAATGCATGGATTTTATTTGAAAAGATATTGATCATTCTCCTAGAAAGATTAACGGCAGAGGAAAGAGTGATGATAATTCTGTCATTCACAGCTGCCAACATCATTTTGAAATAGTATGTTGGAATAGTATTAAAAAAGCAAATCATTCAGTTTAAGTGATGACAATAATCTTTTCTTGTAAATCACTGTAAAGGATAGTATGTGTGAAAAGTATGTATTTACATGTTATAAACAATAAATTAACTTTCTCCAATGAACATTTTATATTTAAGACTATTCTGTTCCTCAGTGTTCAATGTCTTCGTTGGATCACAGGATCCACTAAGTTACAGCTATTCAATCTTTCTTGGACTTGTACAAACAATTTTGTATTCAGTACTCCAAGCTACTTCATTAATATGCTGTCAACCTACTTTATACAAACATTATCCTTCAATGATCCTGTTTGGGCCTCTGTCTCTTCTGCTTTCTCAGTCTATTTAATTCATATTTCATTCATGTCCAGGAACTTTCTCTATTGCTAAGCAGTGAGTAGAGGAGGGGGATTTATTTGTTTTGATGCCTTCATGACAAGTTTTGACTCCTGGCAACTGCCTGGACAAATCCCTGCAGCTTTCTTGGCAAGATTTTTCGGAAGTAGCTTGCCATTGCCTTCTTCCTAGGGCTGAGTGAAGGTCACCCATCTGGCATCAATCCTCAGGCAGGACTTACAGTCTCCCAATACCTAGCCTGGTACCTTAACCGCCACACCAAGCTGCCTCTCCCACAGGAGGTTTAGGGAATGTTATAGTTGAGATTTCATCAACTGTTATCTTCCTAGTTCCCAAGTTTTCTTTGCAAAATAATTTTTGTTTTCAAAGTATTGTGTTGGATAAGTTGTACTATTTGCAATGGAAGCAATTCTCCATCTTTCAATCCATCCCTTCACAGACCAAGCAAAAGTTAGTAAGTGTAAACAACTTCTACATCAAGTTTTAAAAAAACAGAAATATTGTCAAGGTGCAGGTTGACCAACAGTTCTATTAATATTTAAAATATTTAAACTTTTTTCAGTAATGCAATATATGAGATATGAGACTCATGACACTCACAGCAATTCCTTTAATCAATATAAGAGGATATCTTTCTATTACTGACCAAAACATATTCTTAATAGCTTTGTGTTATTTTGCTAGCTGACAAATTGCTTTAATCAATAACACATTGAAACATTTTTTTCTAAGCAAATATTCCATAAATGTTATAGTTTCCTTAAATGTTTAAATTATAACAGCAAATACCATAAATTCAATATATCTTACTGCAAGAGTAATGGAATGATGTCGATAATGAGTAACAGGTAACTTTCTACAATAGGATGCATTTTTGAGTTTAATGGAACATATCGAGTTGTGCAAATGCATGCTTAGTGACTAGGTATTAATTACAACCCTAATCTATTAATTTTGTTATAATTGTGACCACAAAAACTTGTGCAGTGCATTATTTTGTTTGGTTTTGATGCATTCACACCCCTTTTTAAACACCAGAGTATTTGATGGGGGGTGGGGGGAAATTAAAGCCAGCAAGGCTTCTCAAAGTAATCAAAGTACTTCTCAAAGTAATCATTTCCCCCCAGATATGAAGCATTACTTTCGTCTAGCAGCAAAAACTCAATTGTTGAATTTACACTTTGTACAGTGAGCGCCAGCACTGCAGAAAGTACTATACCACACAGTTGCAAATTCTGTGGAACTTCTTAAGCTAAGTGATGCCTATCGTGAAATGAACCCTGCTTAAATTCTCCCCTCCACGGAGGAGCCAAATTTAGTTCCCTTTTCTTCTCTATCCATTCAAAGTTGCCTTGCCAGGCATACCCGAAGTTGTGCCATTTCTTCAGGGGCTCAGCCCACTTGTTGTGAGGGAAGTCCTCCTGGATGGGTGGCCATAGATCCAGTTGAAGGAAACTTGTTTCCAGCGCACCTCAAACCCATGAATTCTTCCATTTAGCTATTAAGCTTGTGCCTGTTAAGTTTCAGGCATGCCATTTGCTCTCCTTCACCTTCTCCAGAGAGCCGTGGTGAGCTGAGGAGTTGCTCCGAAGATTTCGAAGGACAGACGTGTTTAGAAAGTAACGCGTAAAGAGAAATCACGCAGACCAGTCGGCGTTGGAAGACGTTTGAAGAAACGCCTCTTCGGATGTAACTCTCGGCGTACTGACATTTCTGCTTATGTACAACCTTAATCGCGAAAGATTTTGTAGGCGGGGGAGGTTATTCGTTTCCCTAGAGAGTCACATACATTTCCGTCGGTTTCTAAGGACCACAGCTTTTAACGAACGGTCGTATCCAAACGTTTCGTTGCTCCTTCTCTACCAGTTTCAGTCGGTCCGAAACGAGAACTGCGAGGAGTCTGTCATCTTCTCTCCCCACACCCGCCCCTCAACCCCTTTAAAGTGGCGCTTTCAGCTAGCCGTGGGAGTGTATGTGTGCGTGTGTGTGCGCGCGCGCGTGGGGGGTGGGGAGCGCGGGAGGAGAGAGAACTAATATACATAAAACGGACGAGCTCGCGCTCTCTAGCTCTTTCTCTCTCACGCGCATGTTGCGTAGGCAGGGCTTCGAGGGAACCTAACGACGACGAGGGCGACAGCGGCCCAGTAAAAGAAACGGAAACGTTTAGAAGGTCCTTCCCGCGCACGCGCACCCGGGGTAGGCCTCGGGGGCGCGCGCGCGCAGAGCCGCGGTGGCGGCGGCGGGCGAGAACAGGGAGGGGGGAGGGAAGGCAGGGAAAGCTGCTGAGGTAAAGTTCGAGGTGGGGGCGGGGAACGGAGAGGGGGGCGCCGAATGTCTCTGTGAGAGTGAAAGAGAGAGAGAGAGAGAAAGGGAGAGACGTGGGTCCATCAGCGAACCCAGTGCTGGGGAGGCTTAGCCGCCGCCATTACGAAGCCGGGAACACCGAGAGAGGAGGGAGGAGATATGAAGATGGGGCGAGAGTTGTGAGAGGGGCTGCGACCAGAAGGGGAACGGCGGCCGCTGGCGCGGAGCGAGAGTTCCGGGAATGCTGCTGTTCTCTCTGTGGAAAAGCCGGAGACCGAGGTAAGGAGAAATTAAGCCGCTCCTCCTTGTAAAAGCCCTCCTCCCGATCTACACCGGCCTCCCCCCCCCCTTTCACTAACTACACCCAAACCCATAGCTGCAGCGGCGTTGGGGTTTCGGAGCCGGGTGTTGCTGCTTGCAGAGGTCCGGGCTCTACCGGCTCCTACCAGTTCTGAGGAAGGCTGAGGCCGCCTTGGGCCGAGACTTATGAGGGAGAGATTGCTGGGTAGGTCAAGAGCTCCGCTTTCTTTTCTTTCCTCTTCCTTCCTTGTGGGAGCCCTCTCCATACCTACACACCCGGGAAGGAGGAGGGGGAAGGGTTGGAAGCGTTGCTTGCCTCTGGTCCCAGACAGGTGATGAAGGCCTAAACCAGCCGGGAGGCTCGGAGCTTATTTTACTAGGTTCTAATAGCAACGGCGACGGCTGCCAGTTGGCCACGGTTCCCCAGGGAGAGGGGAGGACGGAACAAGGCAGGAAGGAGGAAAATTCTCCTTTCCTCCTTGCTTCTTTTCTCGATCTCTCCGCCCTCCCCTCTCCATTATTTCTGCTTTGCTCTCTCCAGGCTTCCATACTCCTATCTTTCTCTTCTTCACTTTCCCTCCTCCCCTCTCCGACCACCTCCCAAAATCTCGCCATAGCAAACTTTCCTCTTTTAAAGATGTGAGTGGCCTACTTTTTCCTCCTTAAACCCTCCCCCAGCTCCGTAGGGTGGATGTAATGTAGTTTGAAACAGGAGGTTAGGCGGGCTGTGTTGCTTACTACAATTCTTCATGTTCTTTCTTGTCTCGGTAACCCCTGGATTTCCTCTCAAGGAAAAGCCCTAGATAGAAGTCTGGAAATGGCAGGAGAGACGTAATTCAGAGACCGGTTGCTTGTTGGCTTTAATTCCACCCCCCTCAAATACTCTGGTGTTTAAAAAAGGGTGTGGAAACCTTCTCATACGTATTCTTCAATGTGAAATATCCAGCAATTCCACTGTTAAGGGTTTGCTTGAAAAGTAGGAGGAAAATGTTTTAAATGTAGATTAAAATAGGCCAGTGGTGGGTGTACTTAGATTAGGTTTTTGATGATAATTAGTGTATATTCACTGTTAGATACCAGCAGTTAGACATTTCTCAAAGTCTGCATTGCATAGTATATTCATTTTACCATATATTTAGATCGTTGTTGACAAGCACTATTCATACATACTTGACCAAAAGGCTAATTAATATGTGGACAATTCTACTTTGTTTTGCTTTTGATATTAAATATTTGTTATAACTACAGACTTTGATTTTCTATTTTGTGAAGTTATAATGAATGGTTTTTTTGTAATTAACTAGAACATACATACATACATACAGAGAAAGTAAGTAAGTAAGTAAGATTGAGAGATTACAAATTGAAATTGTAGCATCACAAGTAAAAACTTGCTGTAAGTTTTCTGTTATATAGTATTAGTGCTTGAACTTTTAGCAGATACTTTGTAGTGTACCATATTACATTAACATAGTATATTTGAACAAGCTTTTATCTATGCTTGAAGCATTAAGCTCACTAACAATTCTTGATCCAAATAAGAGTGCCTAAGCTTGCAGTGAAATTCTGTGCATACTTCTAAATCCCATTAACTTTGATGGGTATTTTTTTGGAAGAGAATGTACAACATTTCAGTTAACAACTGTTAAAATGTTTCATTTGCCAGTTTTAATAGGACTTTAAAGTTTGGTATGCAAATAAAACTGGTAGTTTTGATGAAATTCTTGTAATAAAATCATTTTAATAATGAAAACAATAAAGCAAATATTTGGTAATGCTTGTGGATTTGCCTTTATTATTTACAACTCCTTATGTTTTATGTTCAGATTTTTCCTACTGTTAGTTTTAGAAGACAAATATATAAACCACTGTTCAATTTGTAGATTTAGATTGTAGATGATTTCTGATTTGCTAATATTATAGCTGCAAGTATAGGCCAAAATCAGCTCCCATATCTGGCTACAGTTGTTGGGCCATGAATTCGAAACATCTGGACAGCATCTGCTTGATTGTCTTGCAATGCATTCTTTTAAATTATGATCTAATATTTCACTTCATAAGTATGTACATCCATCAAAGTGGGCCTAAACATTTATTTTGTCATGTTTGCTAATCTCTTAAGAATTGTTGTGATGCAATTGTGAAGTTCCTGCAATTTATCATACACTGAAATAATTTATTCTGCAGTAAATATTTATAGAGCTACAATAAGCTTATGAAATAGAATTTATAATATAATCATATTTATATAGGTAATTATACAATTGTAAAATAGTTAGCAGTTGTTGGGGGGAATAAATATTTATAATTGATAAGATGACTCTGTTGCTTCCCAATGTGGAATCCAACTTTTAGAAATAGTAGAAATAACTTTACACTTTGTATAATTTTCAATAAATCAGTTGATACTACAGGAATTCATGTCTTTTTTTGAAAGTTTTTGATTTTGATGCTGAATGAATATTATATAACCAATGCTAAAAATATTTAAATATAATCATACAACTTAAAAAAAAACTTTTCAATCTAGAAAAATACATCTGGGCAGTTTTTGTTAGCTATCATAAACATTTTAGAAATATTGACACAAAATAATTCTAATATAAATCATAACATGGATGGAATAATTTTATAAAAGTAATATAAGACACTTTTGTTAAAGAGGCAAAATAGTTGCAAACTATAAATGGTACATCTGTTTAACATTCCGTTTTCCAAAATATAAATGAAATTTTCAGGAAATCAGCTTTACAAATGCTATAAAATATAAAAATTGATTAATCAAATCTGCAAATTATTAAGCAGTAGGCAAATCATACAAGCATGACAAGTGGTGATCTTCATCAGAATTCAAGAGACAGGTTCATCTTGTCTTGCAATGTCCATCTTTAAAACTAAAAGCAAGTTCCTCTGGCTGTTTCCAACTTTCTTCAGTGATGTGATGTGATGTTAAGAAATGGCCATTTGTGTTAGCTTTGGAAGGATGTTAGAAGCAACAAGATCAAGCTTTTGACTTTTCTCCAAAACCTGACATTAAATGGAAGACAAAAAGTAGGGAGATTGATTTTTCAATCTTTCAGAAATCAAAATAGCAGAAACAAATATTTGAGAAAGGAAATAGGAACTCTCACTTTATGATAAGTATTTAGGGAAATATGTCAATATTCTCAGTCATCCATGTACAGTTATCTGGAAGTTGAGTCATGGCAACTGGACTTTTCTTCTTTTCTTTCTGGTTCGAAACGTTTCGTGCTTATCCAAATAGCTTCTTTAGGAAAAGCTAGACAGTTGCCAAACAAGCCAGTGGAGGAGTAGAAGATAAAGTTGGTGCTTTGGCAACTATTAAGAGGCTCTTATTATCAGGAGTACCTGTTATTTTGGATACAAGTACTTACGAAATTCAGTATAGGTTTAACAGAGATATCTACAACTGTTGGTAGAATATAAGGCATTAGAATGAATTTCCTCAAGTTATTCTTTCAATGTTTATTCAGAGAACTGGACAGTCTTCTAGCACATAATGAGATACAGTTAAATACTGTTTTGTTAAAACATTTAGATATAAATTTTACTGTTGAAATCAATATAAAATAATCATAACCAGTAGTTTAGATTCAGCACGAAATATCATGCAGCCTAAATGGAAGGGAAGAGCATATCCATTATGCTTGAATGTCTACTAACAAATCTATTTGTTTCACCCAAACTACTTCAGATGCAGTGCCATTTTCTATTATTTCAGGGAAATATCTGGATAGAAATTTTTTCTTTGCATATGGAAATCTCTCAAATCGAGGTTCTTTGTACATGAAATCACGTAAAAGCATAAGTATTTTAGTTTTTTGTATTTACATAGGTGACAAGTGAAACTTGCAGGCATGATGTGATCCCCTTCCCTTCCCATGAGCTATTTTTTTTTGCCTCTAATGTAGGAGATAGTATATGGCCCTTAAAGGTAGCAGGTAGTGTACCACCATTATATATGAATCCATCTACCCCTGTGGTCATTATTTGACTATTATTTGAAAAGGGCTTTCTTGTATCTCTCCTAGTTTCAATGAATGCCCTGGGTTCTAATATTGGATATACTAAGCATTTAATAACAGATTCACTGTATTAGTAATGTGAAGCTTATTTATTTCAATTATTATTTTGGAATACAAATCCTATCAAAGTACTTTATCCATTAGCTTTTTCAATAGTGCAAAAAATAAGAAATTATAAATGTAAAAACAACAATAATTGGAATCTTCTGTCTTCAAGGGTTTTTTGACATTGCAGATGGTAGAAATGGGGCCAGGAACAGTCCTTCATGTGCTTGCTTTTCTTTTTCTTTTCTGGAGTTTCTTTCTGATAGAGATTTTGAACATTATTTATTTCTTAGATTTATTATTCTGTGTTTTGTTCAGGAACTCAAGATAATGTACCTAGTGTTGCTTTCTCCTACGCTGCTCAAAAAAATAAAGGGAACACTTAAACAACACAATGTAACTCCAAGTCAATCACACTTCTGTGAAATCAAACTGTCCACTTAGGTAGCAACACTGATTGACAATTAATTTCACATGCTGTTGTGCAAATGGAATGGACAACAGGTGGAAAGCATAGGCAGTTAGCAAGACATCCCCAATAAAGGAGTGGTTCTGCAGGTGGTGACCACAGACCACTTCTCAGTTCCTATGCTTTCTGGCTGATGGTTTGGTCACTTTTGAATGCTGGCGGTGCTTTCACTGTAGTGGTAGCATGAGACGGAGTCTACAACCCACACAAGTGGCTCAGGTAGTGCAGCTCATCCAGGATGGCACATCAATGCAAGCTGTGGCAAGGTTTGCTGTGTCTGTCAGCATAGTGTCCAGAGCATGGAGGCGCTACCAGGAGACAGGCCAGTACATCAGGAAATGTGGAGGAGGCTATAGGAGGGCAACAACCCAGCATCCGGACCGCTACCTCTGCCTTTGTGCAAGGAGGGACAGGAGGAG